ATCCACAGGTGTGACACTATGGTATGTCCAAGCCTGAGAAGCATCATTGTTAGAAAAATGTGGGGTCTTTCCTATTTTATAGAAAAACTAAATTAGCCATAAACTTTGTAAATTTAACTAATAACAATAGAAGACACACTGTGGCTCACTCGGGAGCGTGCGGTGCTGATAACACCAAGTCAAGGGTTACAATCCCCTTACCGGTCATCTTTAAAAAAAAAAAAAAAAAAAAACAATAGAAGACACAGCTCACAAGTGACCAAAGCTCCAGTACGTTCCAACATTGAGGGCTGCAAGCATAGTGAATACATAGCACAAGAGTTGGCATCAGTACGTGCATGTTGATTGAATTGATTTCTAGGGAATGAAGGGGGAGGAAGGAAATTACCATTACCCAACACTCGTGGTTGCCAGATGGTAGGCACTTTGCATACATTCTCTCTTTTGGTCCTTACATCACCCTTGTGGGCTTGGAATCATCATCGCCACTCACTGATGAAGAAGTTAAGGAACTGAGGTCCTGGGGCCCAAGTTAATAAGTGATGAAGGAGCATTCAAACCTAGTACTATCAGCTTCCATAATCAATGCTCTTTTTTTTCATTATCCCACACTGTCTCTTAGAATCTCACATAGCAGATTTGTGAATATACACACAGAGGAAGAAATGGGTGAAGGAGGGTGGGTGGATGATAAATATGGTTGAATGATAAATAGTGGGTAGGAAAAAAATATTCCTGAGACATCTACTGTGTGCTGTATGCTCTATTATTATGTACACATTTAATTTTCCTAAGAACCCTGTGAAGTATTTATTATTCTCCCAGTTTTAGAGATGAGTTAGCTAAGGCTTGTAGAGGTTAACTACTTGATGAGGATATGTAACTAGTAAGTGGTTGAATTAGGATTTGAGTCTGAAGCATGATTTCCTTTCATCATACCATCCTGCCTGGATAGCAGCATGCTAAACATGCATCCCTACTCTGTCCTTTATTAATGACTCAGCCAGTTGTTAGACTTCCCAGGCTCTATTTTCTCATCTGTAACATGACAGATGCCTTAGGTACTTCAGAGGCTCATTGGGAACACCACAATATTAAAGTATGTGAAAGGGCTTTGAAGAGTTAATAAGTTATTGAAAAAATGCAGCAGGGAGTATAAGAATATTAGAGTGAGGAATTACTAAGGTTTGGCAAGATCTTAAAAGACCGATAGACAAGCCATGTCCTGTAGCCGGTTATGCGGGGTTAGAGAGAGATTATTAACTAATTCCCCAGGAAGGAGAGTTCTCTGGTTTTTCTAGCCAGCGCCGGGGCAAGCATGGGTGCAGAGGAGGAAATCTGATGGCATATCAGGCAAAGTCCTTTTTAAAAAACTGGAATTCTTGGATCTAACTTGTGGGTTTATATCTGGATTGAGTCCATATTATCTGCAAACACTGGCACCAAGAATCTACAAGAGATCCTTCTAAGAACCAAAGACACCTACCAAGAGTTGTATTATTAGATTACTTGTTTTGTATAAACTATTGAAGTGAAATCACCAATAAACTTGGAAATTAAATTATAGCAGAATATAAACGATTGAATCTTTTCCTATATAACCAGAATTACAATAGCAGTAATCTAAGAGATTAATACATGATGGCAAAAGACACAAATACTTGGATAATGCATATATACAGTCATCTAAAACCATCCCACAGAGTCTGAGCTATGATTTGTATGCAGCTAATATGAAATTAATGATATTCAGTGGGACCAGAAATCATAAATTATTTAACGTTCCTGAGGAAAGAAGAAAGTAGAATATGAGTATAATTTTCTCTCACTCCGTATAACAGAAAATGTTTGAGAATTAAGGAGAATGTTTATTTTACATGGGGTTTTGAAATGCTTACATGAAGGCAGAAGGCTACATGGCAGCTGATTAAAACATAATAGTAATCACAACAAAAAGAGCAACAATAATGGTTATTGAACACTTAACATGTACCCCATACTGTACTAAGAACTTTTCTAGGTTATTAAATTTAGTTCTTAAAAACAACAATGTACAGATACTATTATCATTCCCTGCACATAGATGGAGAAACCATCTACAGAGATGTGAAGTACTTTGCCCAAGGTCACAGCCAGCAAAGGAAGGGCTGCAAAGTGGGTCCAGATCCCAGTGATGAGAGGCTGGGAACAGCACATGAGAAGTTGAAGTCAGAGGGCCCTATTCTACTTTTTTTTTTTTTCTCCTGCCCTCCTCTTACAAGCCAAAAAAATAGTCAGGGTTCTAAAGGAGTATAGGAGGGCAGATTTCCTATTGTCACTTCGAAATAAAAAACAATGGGAAAGCTGGTACAGGAAATGGGTTAGAACAAACTAAATGTCAGCTGAGCAAAAACCTTATTCTTACACCAGGATTCACACGGCTTTCTGCCCTACTTTTCCCTCACTATCCACCTCAATTTTTATTAAAGAGAAGTTTAAGCAATTGGGACTATTTTTCTGGGAAATTTAAGGACTAAAGATGCTCTCACATTCTGAGAGCTCTAAGTTTGAAAGGAAGGATTCTTATTTGGTTTCTAGAATCGACACCACTTCCCTTCATCTCCATCAGCAGTGAATTGTCTGAAGGCCAAGGAGAGAACATTCCTGACAACTACACAACTCAGCACACCTTGGCATGTAATACTATAGATTGTCAAAGGCTTTAATGTCACTCACCTCTCCCAAGACATCCATGGAGTTATTTTCCACAATCATGGGGATTTCTGGCTTAGCTTAAAGACAAATAAAACACAGTTAATGGCAGTGGCACTGAATGTCATTCTTTCTGGATACTAGGTGTGTGTGTGTGTGTGTGTGTGTGTGTGTGTGTGAGATTCATCACCCAACAAATATTTATTAGACACCCACAGTGTGCATAGCAGTATGCTAGACACCTAGGAAACAAAGGTGGAGAAATCACACTCACTGTCCTCAAGAAATTTACATTTTTTATGAAAAGTATAGATAAATAAACTAGAAGTAATAACACACTGAGATAAGTACAATGATTGAGGACATGTAGAATTTGAAGAGAGCTTTTAAGAAAAGCTTCTAACCTAACCTTGGGGGATAAGAGGAGCCTTCTGGAAGATGTGTAGCTGATACTTGAGTTCATGATCAGTGGTGAGTGAAGTGAAATTGGGATTACAGATGAGTGGAGGGGCAGGTGATGGGGAGAAAGAGGAGTATTCTACATTTCCAAAATAAAGTATTATTTTAAGTCCCCTGAGGGGGATGGGAAAAACATTTGAAACTTGTGGTTGCTTGCCACTGGAATATATCAGGTAATACTTCAGTGATTTTGTTGTTGTGCTAGATTGTAAGTGCCTTAAAATCAGAGTATTGTATTCACCTCCACGTCTCTAGCACTTAACAGTGCCCAGCACAAAGTACACATTGAGTACACCATGTTGAACTGACATGGTTTCAAGTAAGTCTTGAGTATGGAAGATTTTTCTGCCATTCAGTGGAAAGAATATTAAGACCCCCTGTCCCAGATGCCTGCCATGTCCACTTGGCATCTACCTCTACATGCTGAAGGCCTCTTTCTGGGCATGCCTATGACTCTCTGCCCAAGGACGTACTAAAATTATGGGAGCATACTCAGTCCACAGGAGAAGAAACTGGAAGTCCCAGAGAATTAATGGTGATAACAGATGTGGAGTTGATGGATGAATACTCTAAGCTTTCTTGCCTTTCAGTTGGGATAACTCTTATATGTGTTCTATGTTCTCTCCTAGAGATCTCCAGTAAGACTGAGCTCTAAGCCACAGTGGTAACTTGCTTAATCATGCACATTTTATTATGTTCCTTCCCTTCCTCGGCTCACTTTCCTGCTCCTTTTCTGATGTTTCCGAGGATAACCTCTCAGAGAAATTAATTTTACTCAAATCCTTATCTCAATGTTTTCTTTTAAGTAAACTCAAACCAAGATACAACCCTGAAACCCTAATGGGAGGAGGGGTGTTTCTGAACTTCTTCCAGCAGCCAAATACCAGTAAACTGAAGGACCTGAAAGAATTAACAATCACTAAAAGTTGCAGGGGTGGGAGAAAGAGACAGATTCTCTTTGAAGTTCAGGACTGTCAGGTTTAGAATTTTGGAGTGGGGGACAGCAAATGTGATGGCCAGGTGACTCCCTGCTGGGGAAAGTAAAGTCACAGCAGACCAGTAAGGGAGATGCGGGAAGTAGCAGAGGAGCTGGGGCAGCCTCTGGTCCCTGGTCTGTTAGAAGGCATTGTTTGGGAAGAAGGAATAAGCTGGTTTAGAGCATGTAGGATTGGTCTGTGATACATTTAGGTACTCATTTCAAAGTTTTTTTTGTTTGTTTGGTTTTTTTGTGTGTGTGTGTTTATTTTTACTTTTGGCTTATTTCATATGGGGAATCACCAAGGGATGAAAAATGGTTTCTTATAAGGTATAGATTGTACCTCGGTCCCAGGACCACTATAAATATACTGAGGTGACACCTGCAAATAGGTTAAAGATTGGATGAAACTCTGTCCAAACATAACCTACCTGGCCCATTTATGAAGTGGGAAAGCCAGGAAGCAGGGAAAATCTAATTCTATGAACAAGCACATGGAGTCTCATATTTTTAAGCATCTACTGAAAGATGTTCAAAGAAGAAGCGAGAGAAATGTAGAGAAAGAAATGTGGAGCCAGAGAGGATGATAGAAATGAGATGTAAAAGACTGAAAAACGTTCAAAAACAAGATGAAGGCATTTTAACACAGCAAAGAGATACAGGACGTGGTTTATACGCTGATGAGACAAATCACGTTACGGTGCAAAAAACCTTGGTCAAATGGGATCACAGCTTGCCTAACTAAAAGTGACACTTCTTGCTCCGTCCAGGATGGCTTCCCTCATTGGTTTGCCAATAGTTAGGCCAGATGAGGCAGCTTCATGTCTGTGCTGAGAAGGTGACCCCCTGACAGGTGAACAAATGGTGATATTGATAAAAGAGATGAACAGTCTGTCTCCAGCTCTTCACAGGACACTGTTTAGACTCCATAGGAGCCTAGTCATCAGGGGTGATTATTGCCCCTGAGAAGAGGCAGAGAGAGAGAGAGGAGGCAGTGGAGGGAGGAAGAGAAAGGAAGAGATTAAGAGCCAGGGAGAGACTCAGGAGAAAGCTTTAAGCATGAAATTTCTAATTAAATAAATCTTGGCTGTAGCCACACCAGTCTTTACAAATAACTTTTTGTTTTCTTCAGAACACTAAATTGTATGATCTCTAATAATGATGCAATAAGATTCTAAGTAAAAACAAAGATTTTCCACTTGCTCTGTCATTCAGAGAACTGAGAAACAATCCAGCAGCTCGTGTCCTTGGGTATTGTGAAATTATTTGCTCTTTGTTTAACTCATTTTCAAAAACAATTAATTGTCCATTCACATCACTGCTTTTCTCTTTGCTGTCCTTTAAAAATGACTTTTTAAAAAACACAGGTCCTGGCCACAAAAGTGAAAAAAAAAAAAATCCAAAGCCAGGGGTTTCTGTTTATTAATATTTTCTTGCACCATAAGGCAAAATAGAATGTTCACATGTTCACATTTTCCTCTTAAATTTGCACCTTGCAGAGTCACTGCATTTTGAGTGGGGCCAAACTGGATTGCATAGCTCAGCTCCATGCTCCTAGGGAGTTTCTCTGGGACTGTGTTTATCACTTTCTTTTCCTCACTGGCTTTATTCCACCTTGCAACTATGACAATTAGACAACTAAGTAATTAGACTTTGGCAGTTTTATAATTAAAGAGATTTTCAGTATTCTTAGGAAACTTTAAAGTTGTAAACAAGAGAGTGGTTCCCAGGAAAAGAACTATCCATGGCTTTCTGTGTGATTTTATCCTATTAAATGAATTATCACTCTTTAGTGTCCTGCCCTTGATCCCACCCCCAACGAGAATGACAAGTATCAAGGCAAACAGAAGTCTGGAATAGCTACCCTTGCATGGCAGCTCTCTGTGGTAACAGCGTGCTTCCTTTCTAGAGCAGAGACAGGCAGGAGAAATTGACAGGATGATGGCAGGGAGCCCACAGAACATAAACCCTTACCGAAAACCTTGACAACGGTGGAACTCCTCAAGATCTTGCCAGGCCTGACTCTGATGCTGCAAGAGAACTCCCGGTCATCATCGCGGATTTGGACTGGAGAGAGGTGGAGTCCATAATCTGTGCCCAGCTTGACTCTGCCTTTAAATAACATGGAATTGCTGATGGGCTGATCTTGGGTGATAAGTGTGTGCTGAGTTCCATTATCGTCCTGGTAAGAAAAATAGTTACCAGTTACTGAGCAGTCAACTGTGTCAGCCCTGACCGAGATGTTTCACAAGGATTAATCCATCTATTTCTTGTGAAATGGAGATGATGAGTGAAGAACTGAAATGAAGAGATATTTATGTTACTAAAGAAAGTATCATTATACTTGACTTTCTATTAAAAACTACTGTCATTCTCTCCTAACACGAATAGAAATTTGCTGCTGTCCTGACCAGAATTTCCTCTTTATAATCTTCCATAAACTGTGTGTCTGGGGTGGGATTTGGGGGGTTGGGGGTGGTATGGGAGGCTAATGTCAGACCCTAATTCTTATTTAGGAAGTTCTGACATTTTTCTGCTAATGAAATAGAGCTCCCCACACCCTCATAATGTAAGCTACCTGCTTCTGTAGAATTGCTTGCTTAACCGAAGTAACTCCATTTTACCCCATCTGACCTGCAGGTGACCCCCCCTTCTGCATGAGAAACCATTGATCTTCTCATAGAAACAAAAGCTGTTGCATAAAAACAGGAGCTATACACAGTGAACTATTACATGGGAACACACACAATGAAAAGTTGTATGCTTGATTGCTCTAAGGGCTCATTCTTGGCTTCTGTGACCTAGCTCCCTAGCTTGTTTTGTGCACCTGGACAAACCCGTGTGCCAACAGGATGTAGTTTTTGCCTTTAAAAACCCCACAAGACCAAGGCCTGATGCCGCTTTCTTGATTGCTCCTTGGGAGATGGACGCTGGCCAGCTAGAATAAATAAGCTGCCCTTTTCTGCACGAGTGGCGTGTAAGTGCATTTCTTGTGGGAGGGTGCCTCACAACACTAAGATGTGTTGAGGAGACTGTTTCAGTTTTGCTTATTAAAGCTTCACCTGAACTGGGTGATTAGAGCCCTACTGTCTTCCTGGGATTCCTTTAGAAAAGGTCTCATTTTAGCTCCTCTCAGAGCCTGGCTTACTATGAGACCAACAGGCACAAAGGGCATAAAATTTAAGGAGGCACTCATTGTCAGGGTCTCATAAGTGAAGGGTTGGCACCTGAGCATGAGTGTCTCTTTACCTTAGCCTGCTCCTGGTCCTAGCCCTATCCCTTATTTCTGTGTTTGTGCTACCTTTGAAGACGACTCATGAAGAGCAGGTTGTAAATGTTAATCTGAACTTTGGAGATCAGAGTTTATTTGGAGTACTTGGTTCCTCTATTCTATATCCTTTCTTGGGTCTGTGAAGAAAAACCCCCATTATTCTTGCCCTACCCAGAATTTCCATGGTCAAGATCCCTGGGGTGTCACAGTGGTGGTCTATGTCAGTGAATGTGCTGACTAAGGGCCCAGGGAGGAGGGGACTCATGAGGGGCATAAGGTAGAGGAAGGGTCAAGTCCTCACAGCCCATAAAACAATGTTCTCAATTGAGCTGCTTTGAAGACACTCTGATGCACAAGCTCCTCCTCCAGAGGTTCCAATTCAATTGGTCTGGGGTAAGGCCCAGGCTGGGTTTTTTTTTTTTTTTTTTTTTTTAAGTCCTCAGGGAGCCAGGGCTGAGAACCACTATTTGGCTGTAAACAAGAGATTGTGGGCAGGTGTCAGGGAAAATGGATGGAACTAAAATGGAGAAGGGTGAATAGGAATGCATTTGATAATAAGGGTAAAAGTCACAAAATAATAAAAACAATGATCTCTGACTTGGAATCTAGTTTAAAATACAAGACAGATTCAGGGTAGAAGAAATGGAAGCCAGGTAAGTGAGCGAATTCACGTTTGGACAGCAACTGTGGAAACATGAAGACAGACTTCTTACATAGTTTAATTATATAGATATTTCCAAAATGTACTTAGTAGAAACTCTTATGTAAGTCACAATTCTTTAGCTGAATCAGCCTTATGTACAGGTAGTTTGTAGTGTTGCCTGCAAAGACTCACACCCTGCTAAATGTACCCTGAAGCAATATACATACCATACGATACCTCTACACCTTAATAAAGAAGGCCCTAAAAGTCTGTTCTGCTATATTCCTAATGAAGAAGAGTCCCAGAAAGTCAAAGGGAGAAAGATTGTACTCCAGAGACAGGGGCCTAAAAGGAATCCTCAGTATTGGGTGGTGAAAGCAGAAGAAAGTGGAAGACATTTCACTTAGTGTTGGCTGATCTGGAGCCAGTGATCAAGGCAGCGGCTCCCCCTGCAGGTCCTGCAGCATGAGATATGTTTTTCAGCCTCTTGCTTTGTGCATGGGGATTGTTTTTTGTGAGGATTTTGGAGTTTAAAGTGCTTTTCGGTCATTCAGTATATGACTCACTGTTTGGAACTTTTGTCTGTCACTTTGTTGTGGGAAGAAAGGCAGTCACAGGCTGAGGTTGGAAACTGGTAAGGAAAACTGCTTTTTTCTTTATTATGTAGCAAGGTGTGACTGGCCAGGAGGGTTAAATTGACAGAGAAAAGATACCCCCAAAACCCAATTTATCCAAAGTTCCGCCCCCCTCTGCACTGTCTTCTCCCTCCCCCCAGTTGACTGTAGCAGAGGGGAGGGGTTTGTTCCTTCACTGGGAAAGATGGAATCAGTTGCAAAGAGTGTCCTTTGACCTATAACACAAGGAAGTCCCGAGAGATTAGCGAGTCCCCAGTTATGAAGGGGTCAATGGCAAGAACCTGAATACAAGTGGCTGCCTTCATGGAGCAAATGGGAGGAGAGGAGGAAAAAACTAGCAGAAGCAAACACTGAAATGCCTAGAACTGGGAGAGGAAACAGCAATACTAATACTACGCTATGACCACTACTAAAATTTTATGTTCTCATTAGTCATTGCTTAAAGTCATTTAGCACCTACTATGTTCTAGGCACTGTGCAAAGTTCTTTCAAGTCTTTTTTTATTTACAACAACCTGGAATAAACCAAGGTTAAGTAACTTGCACAAAGGTCACACCAAGTAAGAAGGTATTTAAGTCACGGGATCAAAAAGCAGGGATGCTCAGAACCAGGGACAAATAAGCCTCAGAGACAACATGTACTAATAAAAACCAAACCATCATCATCGTCATCATAAAAACTTTCTGGAGTATCTGGGACAAGAAATAAAAAGAAATTCCAGAAATCCAGAGACCTTTGTATACGTTGTAGGTTGCAGGGGTGTGGGCAATTTGCTGATTGAAAGGGTTTTTTTTTATATATATTAACCCACCTTTAGTGAGAGGCATCACGCAGCATACCTCAACTCCTACCTGGTAACAATGATCTTAGATAACCTGGTCTGCAGGAAACAGACTGGTAGGGGTTCTTGTACAGTGCCTTTGTTTCTACCTATTTTTCTTTTCCTTCAAAGAAAAAATTTGCCTGTGTTAAACAATATTAATATTTATAAAATTTTATTTATTTACATCTTGGTGGATGTTTACTTTTTAATGGTGAGTATAGATTTCACTAGCTAACATATATGTACACCTAGTTTCGTCCTGACACTTAATAGATGCTCAGTAATACAAGCTCACTACCCTCCAGTCCCACCTATGATCAACCTGCTGGTTCATGAGTATTCACTATGTACCTGGCTAAACTGAGGAATGATGGAGAGTAACTGCTATGGTTTAAATGTTTTTGTCACCTCCAAAACTCGTGTTGAAACAATTCCCAGTGCAACAGTGTTGGGAGGTGGGACTCTTCTGCCATGTGGGGACACGATGCTCCTCTTTTCCAGAGGATACGGCATGCAAGGCACCATCTTGGAAGCAGAGAGACCAGGCCTACCCTATGGCACCTTGATTTTGAACTTTCCAGCCTCCAGAACTGTGAGAAAATAAATTTCTCTTCTTTATAAATTATCCTGTCTCAGGTATTCTGTCACAGCAGCACAAAATGGCCTAAGACAGTCATAAAGCCATGAATTGCTCAATCTGTTCTCCTGCCACTGTCAAACCTTATACATACCCTTGAAGGACACAGTGGCCACGAAGGCCCAGAAACCCTTGGCTGACCGGGAAATACTGTTCCTTGAGCAATATAAATATAGCAAGGTCTCAAAACAAACAGCTATCTGCCTTTATTTAAATTTATTTAAATTTTCCCTAAATTTTGATTTTTAAAAATATTGTATTAAAATATTTCTCTTGATTACTGATTTTTTGACCCTCCCTTAAATTTTGCTCCCAAGGTTGAGGGCCTTACTTACCTTACCCTAATCCTAGCCCTTAGGTCACACAGCTAGTAAGTGGTAGATCCAGGCTTGAAAATAATCTCCCTCCAAAAGTCATGCTATTAATGAGTTTGCTATCCACAGCCTCACAAAAGTAGTAGAAGGAACAGTCCTTGTCTTTTCTGCTTACAGTCTATTTGAGGAGAAGAGCATATTCAGAGGAAAATCAAATACAAAAATTAGGACCCACAGAAGAGAAACAAATGCATAATTAAACCAAGTGCAGGAGTTTGATAAAATAATTAGGATAATGAGGGCTGGGTCAAAGTAAATCATGAAAAACTGCTATTATATTTCCTAAATAACTGACGAATCCTAAGATACTTGTAATTTGTTGAGGTGTTCCTATTTTTGTACTAGAATCAGAATTTTCAATCCAGAAGGGGAACCTAGCTATTATTTGACTTAGTGATATTATCTCATCTCTGGGCTGGCTGAGCTCCTTGGAGCCAGCGCCAGGCAGAGCTGGCTGTGTTGACCACAGCACAGGGCAGGGGCTGAGTGTCCAGAGCTCATTCGATAACTGCTGTTAACTGTATTGACTGCTACTTCTTTATCTCCAAACTGCTCCTATCTTCACATTCCTGCATTTATTCTCCATACAGTGAGTGCTGTCTAAGCAGGCAGCATGCAAAGCTCCCCACATACAGTTTCTAGAACAACTTTTTCTAATCATCACGATTGGTTTTTCACATTTTGTAGTTGGTTAGCACTTTATTATTTGTATATTTTTTATTAAAACATGTATGATACATGTTTGTGGGGTACAGAGTTGACTATTGGTATTTGTGTATAATATGTGATGATCAAATTGAGATAGTTGGCATATCTGCCATTACAAAATATATTCGTTCTTTTGATTACAGTAAGGACAATTAGGGTCAGCTGCCATCAGGTAAGAAAGAGCTTACAGTTTTGATTTCTGAATAGTGAGGATTCCTGTAAGCATAGAAAACCAACACTGTTTATAGTCCTATTTTACCTTTTACTTAACTAAAAATAGCATAAATGTTAAAGAAGAGCATATTGAAAAGATACATTTATAGGTAAAAATTTAAAGGTATACAGCATCTAGGATTTAGTTATATGCTTAAATATATGCGTGAATCACTAATATTATATGCTTAAATCATTAATATTGAACTGTTTGAATTTGAAATATTTCTGTCCTTCTCTTCATGATTTTAAAGAGAAAAGTCATGGGGTTTTTTTTCTCCCACTGACTTTGGGGACAAATATTTCCTCAACACCTTTCCCCAGCTGCACTACCAACTTGTACGACTGGTCCCAGGGTCTTGGTGTAGTGTATGTCCATCTTTTGCCAATTGTTTTTTAATTATCTAGCTCAAACATAACCTTTTCTAAGAAGTTTTTCCAGATCCATCTAGTCAGAATCAAACTATTTTCCCCTATGCTGCCATTTTTTACATTTTTTCTAAAGATGTACATCATGGTAGGAAATATATCTAATATAGTTTTATATCCCTGCAAGACCTAGCACTCAAAACAGATTCATACATGTTTGTTGGATTGAAATTCATACTATGGGAAATCAGGATGATAGTTTGGAATGAAAACAGAATATTAAAGGCTATTTAGAAGCTCCCGGAATAAGCCTGTAGAATTTTCCTGACTGTATGCTGGTGTCCTAGGACATAAAATGGGAAAAATATCACTTGTCTATCACTCTGCCAACTATATCCCATCTAAACATACATATTCTATGATTTCTTATGCATCACTTCACCAGTTATATAGACCCTCAGTTTCCATTGAAGGGTTACTCTTTGTGCTTACCTAGTTACTTCTCATTCTACATCAATGTTAGACACACTATTTATACCTGATACTTGTCTACTTTAGTGTAGTCACAATCCTGAAATGTAACTTTCCAAAATGCAAAAGATCTGCTCATTAACACACTTAACACAGCCTTAGCATGGGATCAGCTATGCATAGCAAATAAGTTTTTAAAATTATATTGAGAATCCCAATAAAACCTTTCCCATGAGGGTCATAACTGAATTAGATTTGTAAAATTTCACATACATAAAGACACGGCTTTTATTTTCCAGTGACCTAGAGAGTTTAGATTGTAAAATTCTTTCTAGGGTTTGAGGAAGCACATGAGGTGGAAAGCCTTTGTAGCTCCCCCCAAGTTAGGAGTTCACTATTTCAAGTTTCTGCCCTCCTGAGCTCAACTTCATCATCTCTACTTTTTAATGTTTTCCTAAAAGCCACATTACATCACATTTGTAAGAACAATTGCCTCATCATTATGATTATTGTTAATTTAACAAGAGATTAAAGATCTAAAATATAGATTGGATATTTACGTCCTCTGCAGACATGTAACTGCAGTTTATTCCCTAGTATAAGGACATTACATGGTTTCCCATCAGACTTACTGAATGCCACAGCCGTCAACAATGTGGGGCAGGATGTAAATCAGAGGAGCAAATAGATTTTGACATTTAAAAAGGGAGTGCACAGTAGGAATTTAATCAGCACATTTGCCAGCACAATACTACCTTTGAAAAGAGATTTCTTTCAAATAGTTTCCTTGAGTTGTCTGTATCGTGGTGCATTCTTTAAAGTGACAGCGTGTCTTGAGGTTCCAGTAGATGTTTAGGACTCATCCTCTCAGGGTATGACCTTACGTGCACTCTCTGGCACTCATTTATCCTAAATGTTTTGGCAAGATCCAAAGATAATGTCTGTGTAGGTTACTTAGTTTCTTTGAAGGAAACTACTAGATGGAGGATGCCTTATCAGTTATTTAGTCTTTGATACTTTATGAGCAGCTGCTCATTAACCAATCAAACAGCATGAATTTAACAACCATCAATTTAATATGAGGTCAATGAATAGGACTGTGGGGAAAGGGAACGGATAGAAACAAATCCATTAAATTATTTATTAAGTATTCATTGAGTGCCTATATTCTAGGCACTGTGCTAGATGCCAAGGATTTCTGAAGTTAGTGATGCAGGTTTTTGCCCTGGAGAAACTCAGAGCCACATAAGAAACAGAGGTGACTGAAACCTTTACGTTTGCTTGGAAAAACAGATTACACACCACGAGATAAGTTAAGAATACTACAGATCAACTTACTGGTCAGCAAAAATCTCTACACTAAAGTAGGATTCCCATTGATAGTGGATTTGTGGTAATTAGGACAAGAAATTTGTGCCCTATTGGTGAAAAATATTAGTATTGTAAACAACGTATAAACAGTGCATTTCCATTATCATAAAGTTTAGTAGAGCAGGTTTCTGCCTTCCTGAGATCATCTCCACTTTTTAACCTTTTTCTAAGAACTACATTGCATCATGTTTGTTAAGAACAATTGGCTTAGACTAGTGATAGACATAATGCCCAGGAAGCATTACATTTTGCAAAACAAATCCTATAAAGGGGAAAATGTGTTTTGTGACAGATGGCAGAGACATTGTAGATTTTAGAACAACTGGAAAAGTTGTTTTAGAATATATTTTTCTTTTCATGTTATTGACTCTACAAAAAATATCTAGACAGTGAAAAATTATCAGTAGGTTGTACTTTAAGGTCTTCTTTCAAGTCAGTTATTTTGAATTTGGCATGTTTCCAGAGAAATCTTTTTATATGCAGGTTCTAGTTTCCAAGAGAGTTCACAAAAGTCTAGGTAACTTGTAATGTGAATAATCAATAATGTGAATCACAGTATTTCCCAAATTCTGTCAGCTGCTACATTCATGGGGATCTATGAGTTTTGTAAGAATTATTAGATGCCGTGTTTTTATTTTGATAACAGTCTAAAACTTAATATAATCATATTCTGGATCATCTAAATGAATACCCTGTTACGTGATTCTTGAAATCATGTTTATGGCTATCTTGATAATTGTTAGTCTCTTGTCATTTGATTTAACAGTTTTAGAGGTTTGCTACGTATATTGATTAATAGCTGGCTGCCGTTTAGTTGGGTTACATTAAAGTTAAAATTACACAATTCTTTCATATTTATTATTATACTTATGTTGATTTTGTTTACCTGTTATGAGACAAGACTGTAATAATTTCCATTTAAAAGACATATTAAATCACTAAAATTTTAGTTTTTAAAATTTTTAAAATAAAATGATATAGTATGGTAGAATAATGTCGCAGACTAATGATAAAGTAACAAAGGCAGACAAAGTAGGTAAATGATACATTTGTGTTAAGGGACAGGCTTCAAGTTAAATTATGGATCTGTGTAGGTGAAGATCTGTATAGATGAATTTCGCAATATTTCAAATAGAGAAAAATAGTGGGAGAATTTAGTCATTACATGTTAGTTAAGTAACTTAGCAGCAGTTAACTAATTATAACTATTAAAGTGAATATTCAGTGAAATGTTTTTAATTGGAAATTTAAAAAATAGTACTGCTATATTTTAGAGTGCCCTAGTAATTCGTTCTATCAAAATAACAGACCAGTACTTATTTTTGCTCTATGCATTATTTTTAAAATTGGAAAATTTCTTACAAAAATCCAGATTTCTGGCTTCTTTTTTTAGGCTAAAGGGCATGGCAGCCACAGTCCTGCAGTCTCCTGTGGCATTTAGTAGAGTTGAGCAGTGACTATTTCTTATATGAGTCCTGTTTCTCTCATGTACATTTTCTACTTATGTTTTACAAGCATTAGAGTTTGTTTCCTGATCTAAAACAATGGTGTATATTTCCCAAGATGCAGTAATAAGAGTTCTGGGAAAAGGAGGTCTGTGTCTCTACAAATGTTGTTTATAAAACAAATACTTTTGAGTAGGTGCTTCTGCTGGACATGGCTTTTCTCCACAGCACCATGATATTCTGTTCATTCTGTAATCATGGTTTGGTATATAATTTGAAATAGAGGGCCGAGCCCGTGGCGCACTCAGGAGAGTGCAGCGCTGGGAGCGCAGCGACGCTCCCGCCATGGGTTCGGATCCTATATAGGAATGGCCGGTGCGCTCACTGGCTGAGTGCAGTGTGGGTGACACCACACGAAGGGTTGTGATCCCCTTACTGGTCACGAAAAAGACAAAAAAAAAAAGAAATAGAAATTAACCTTTCAGAGCCAATTTCTAAATTAATGTTCTGCGTTTCCAAGCTCAGAGGCTTGCCTAGTTAGGAGTCGTAGTGTCCTCCCCTCCCTTCCCCAGCCCTCCCCCAGCCATAGCATAAATGCCTGCCTCTCATGCAGTATGCTTCCTTCCCTATTATTACCTGTTATTCATTGTGCTTGATTAATATTTAAAGATCACTGCTGTTATTCACTGAAAAGGGCAACACTTACCACCAACCATGCAAAGGTGAACTCAGATGAAATTTCTGAGGAGATATTTTGAAAGCATGGTATTTCCAGAGTCTGATTTATCTCTATTTCTATTGTGTGGTTACTTCTCCATTCATCCTGTGTAACTGTAACAAAACATAAGGTAGAAAACACACGGATCTTCGGTTTATAAAGTTCTTTTTTCCGAAGACACAAGAATACTTTTAGTACAGAGATGCATCTACCCTCAGGGTTCACCTATGAAGTAAAGAAGCAAACCCCCATTATAGACCTCATTGCATAAATGGCAGAACTGAGCCACTGAGAAGCACGGAAGTTGTTACCACTGAAAAAATTACAAGGAAGCTACATTAACAGAATCCAACTCACAATTTGGCCTGTTCCTCTGCTTTAACCCCAAACTGGCACTTTATTCTGACGGTTACATTTTCTTGATCAGCTAGAATATAAAGCTTTATAACCAAGCCTTTGATTGCCTTTAAAAAAATTATTTTAACAGTCTTTATTTTTAAGAGCTGCTTTAAGTTCTCAGCAAAATTGTGCAGAAAGCACAGAGAGTTCCCATGTGACTTCCACACACTCACAACCTCCCCTGCTGTCAACATCCCGCACCACAGTGGTGTATTTGTTACAATACACAAACCTGAACTGACACATCATTATCACCCGAAGTTCATAGTTTACATTAGGGCTTATTCTTAGTGTTGTACATTCTATGGGTTCTGACAAATGTATAATGACATGTATCCACCATTGTAGTGTCATACCGAGTAGTTTTACTGCCCTAAAAGCCCTCTGTGCCCTGACTACTTATCCCTCCCTCCACTCTAGCCCCTGGCCACCACCGATCTTTTTACTGTGTTCATATCTGATTGTCTTTTTTGAGCTTAAAAACATACCTCCAAAAAAAGGCATGATAAAAAAAAATATGTAAGGAAACTCCGAGGAAGCATTGTTAATGAATTACTCTCATTTTTAAGGTAATATGAGATAAATATTTGCTTTATAGTATCTCCTTTTGGGAAAGGTTTATTATACATATACATACATTTGTGACAAAACTATAAAAACAAGATAAAAAGATAATTGATAAATAAAACAACTCTATCATCCTAATATCCTAAAAACTTTATATGCTTTTTTTCTATTTTTTATGCCAATCTTATTTACATGCATGTATGTTTTCCCATTCTTGGCAGTCCTATTTACCAACAAATGTTAGGTATATTCTTACTTAAAAATGTTTTGCGTGATTCTTGAACTATTTAGAGTTGACATTTTTGGAGACTTTATGTCATTCCAGCATGTATACCCATCATCATTTGTTTAATCATTTCCAATTATTGAATCATTATGCTCTTCCTATTTGGGTTTTTTCTTTATTTTAAACTATCACATGCTGTATAGCAAGAATCATTCTCATACTAATAAATTTCTTCTCACCATTCAGCTACTTATGATAAATTCCCAGAAATATAATTAATGGGTCATTGGGAATGAACATTCTCATTGTTACCAAGAGAATGAATATTAACAAAGAAAGAAAGAAAGAAAGAAAGAAATATTTCTCAGTTTAAGAATGTTATATCTAGTCATTAAAGCTTTGTTATATTTCAGTCTCTCATTGATATCAGGTATCCTCTTTACTGATAACTCCTTCCTTCTTTCCTTAATTGAAATCAGGTCTTTTCCTTAGGGCACAGCTTCCCTGCAGCATTCTCAGAGATTGTTTATTTTCTTATACTCTTAATTCCTCAAACTCAGGAGGTGGGATCAGTGCCTTCCTTGCTCTCCACTGCTGCTTCCAAATATTACTCCAACCCCATAATTTTTTTAAAAGAGCCCTGTCACTTATGGTTAAAGGAATTTAGCTATAACAGTACTTCAAAATGGAGTTATTTGTGCACCACATTCACAATTTTTTGCCATATTTACATACCACCATTACTACTATTTTATTTTGAAGTTACTGTAATTGTTTTACTTATGTAAATTTATTTTAAACAGATATTGATCTAATCACTAATACCTGTGAAGTCCATGAAATCCACTCAATATGTTAATTATATTTTAATGCACATTACCCACATACATAAATAATACATTTTTGTAATGTTTGTCCAGATTCTGGGAAGCTGGTGGTACAAGTGATGTTACTTTTTGAATATCCCTGAATCCTCCTATAAAGACAGACATAGTAACTAGGGTAGCAAAATTAAAAACACATACACAATATCTACAAAAACACTAAATAACAACAAATTCCCATTAATAGGCGCTGATAAACCACTAGACCACTGTGGCTTCAGCAACTGTGCAGAAAGAAACAGAGGAAGATCAGCTGGGCTGTTGATGGCCCCTAGAACGATAGACATACCTTCCCACTACCCTCCCCCCACCAAAAAAAATAACAGGTAATCACAGGAAAGACAGGCAGACTAATCTGAGAATAGCAGCAAAAATGGAGAAGGGAATTTGCAGGTACCAAATCACCAGTGTTTTCAAGGGAAACAAGAAAAAGGTTGTCAGTGCTGGAGCAGACTAGGCTTCTCAGGACATATTCCACACTGAGGAAAAATCCCTGGGAGTGGAATACAAATTAAATGGAACAGGTAAATAGGCAATTTAGATAAAAGTGAGGGATAGAAGCAAAAGAAGTACACTCAGAAAGTGAAATAGCATATTATTTATCTTGAAAACAACACAAGAGGGGGCTCTGAAGACACTGAAGACTCTAGAAAGTCTGGCTTGACCCATCCTTCCATGATAAAAATAAAAATGCATTTAACTTAAACATGAGTATAGCTAATATCCAAAAGACTGAGAATGATAAATGCTGACGAGGATGCGGAGAAAAAGGAACTCTCATACATTGTTGGTGGGATTGCAAAATGGTGCAGCCTCTGTGGAAAATGGTATGGAGGTTCCTCAAACAGTTGAAGATAGATCTACCATATGACTCAGCTATCCCACTGCTGGGAATATACCCAAAGGAATGGAAATCATCAAGTCGAAGGTATACCTGTTCCCCAATGTTCATTGCAGCACTCATTACAATAGCCAAGAGTTGGAATCAGCCCAAATGTCCATCATCAGATGAGTGGATACGGAAAATGTGGTTTATCTACACAATGGAATACTACTCAGCTATAAAAACGAATGAAATACTGCCATTTGCAACAACATGGATGGACCTTGAGAGAATAATATTAAGTGAAACGAGTCAGGCAGAGAAAAAGAAATACCACATGTTCTCACTTATTGGTGGGAGCTAAAAAGACCTTGATATTTTCTGAGTCTATTTCAAAGTCACACACATATGGAATAAACTCCAGTTGAACAGAGAATTAATCCTGATAAATGTATCCAAAGAATAATCAGAGATAATACAGAAACTAGGTGAAAGAGATATGGGAACATTCAAGAAGCCTCTACATACATCTAACAGAAGTTCCAGGAGATAAAAATAGACATAATACTCAAAAATAAGATAAGAAGAACAAAGTTGGAGGGCAGACATTATCTAACTTCAAGACTTGCCATGAAGCTACAGTAATCAAGACATGCATTGGTGAAAGAACAGACAAATAGATCAATGGAACAGAATAGAGATCCCAGAAATAGACCCACATAAATATAGTTTAAAAAAAATTAACTCAGGGCCGGCCTGGTGTCGCACTGGAGAGTGCGCCACTTGGGAGTGTGGCGGCGCTCCCGCCAAGGGTTCGGATCCCATGTGTAGAAAAAAATTAAAATAAAAAAAGATAAAACAATAATGAAAAAAAAACATGAGCAATAGAAAAGAAATGAGTTAGAATCACTTATAAAAATACTCTATAGAAAAAGACAATAGAAAACAAAATAAATTTCTACAACAATGACAGCATATTAGCAAGACTTGAACACAAAATAAATAAAAACCACTTTAAATCTTATTTAAAATGATAATTTTTAATTATTTAAAAAGAAATAAAGAAAATGATACAATCTGTGGAATATTTTGAAAGACTGGTAAATGAGTCCATTTGAGAAAACAAAGGCTTATAAAAGGTAGGTGACAGAATTAAAGAAAGGGTTAGAAATAATAATTTTTAATAATTACTTCAGAAATGAAGGCCAAACTAGAACAAAACCAAAAATATATAAACACAAAAGTTAATACATTAAAAGAAATAAAAAAAAATAGAGCGATGAAAAATTTTAAGTTAATGAAGTTTTAAATAAAAAAGAGATGAAACAGATTCAAAGAAAATGATATGCAAGGGCCGAGCCCGTGGCGCACTCGGGAGAGTGAGGCACTGGGAGCGCAGTAGCGCTCCTGCCGTGGGTTCGGATCCTATATGGGGATGACTGGTGCGCTCACAGTGCTCACTGGCTAAGCGCGGTGCGGCCTGTCTCAAAAAGGACAAAAAAAAAAAAAAAAAAAAAAGATATGCAAAGAAGATAAACATATGTATAACAGTAGGCACTGAAGAAAAAAATCAAAGCAATGGAACAAAACAAATGCTAAAAATTATAATTGAATAATTTTTTAAAATAAAAAATGACTAGAAAATTTACATTAAGAGATTATACTGCAAAAGTAGGAAGATAGACCCAGAATGGACAACATTAAGCATATTCTTATGAAAGTATTAACCAAAGTCAATTATGGGGAAAGAAAATCAGATTGTCATTAGCTTTTTGATAGCAACTCTATGCCAGAAAATAATGGAGTAACATATTTAATATATGAGTACTCAGGGAAAGAAAATGTGAGCCAAGGATTTTATATTCAGCAAAATTAACCTTTTAATATAAAGACTACAGAAAAATGTTAAGGTCATGCAAGAACTCAGGGACACATTGTTTCCATGAGCACTTCCTGAGGGTTCTCCAGCAGAACACATTTCAGCCTGGAGATACATTTACATAAAGGCTGGTGGTAAGTGCTGATTATGTATTTATTGTTAGCACTAAGAATATGAGAGTATTTCAAAAAGTTCATGGAAAAATAGAATTAAAAGATAATACAAGTCCTTTCATGAACTTTTCAAAGTACTCTCATAAATAAATAAGGGAATAGTAATGAATATAAGTTGTAAAATAAAGATACAAAATAATTTCAAAAATGGGGGGTAAGATT